AAATTAGGGGCAAGAAAGCAATACGTATCCCTTCTGAAGGATTTATTTATCTAAATGTAGCTCCGAAACATATTGATGTTTCCTTTGTTAAAAAAGAAAACTAAGTCATATACTCACGACAGTAATCATAGACGTTTAATTTTGAGATATTATTTTTATTTATTAAATTACTAAAAATAATTATCTTTTTATTATAATTTTAAATAATAATATTGAGAATTATTCTAAATTTTTTATTTAAGTTTATACTAAAATATAATTGTATAGTAACTAAACAATGTTTATATAATACAGAGGAGATATTTACGAAAAATTCGTATGAGGTTTTATTAATAAGAGCTAAAACAATTTAGAAATTTCGTCTGACTATATATCAGTTTGTATGTTTGTTCTGGTGCCATACAAAAACTACTGAACAAAACTAGATGTGGCTTTTACTGTTGTGTTCCTAAAGGTCTAACTTAACATCTGGTTTTTTTAAAGTCATGAACGCTCTTGACCGGCGATATAAGTACGAATGGACGGATGGAATACAACTTAGTATCAATAGGGACAATCGAAAGGTAAATTTCATATAAGGAATAGTAAAACCTTTTAAGGGCAGTCTGTCTTTGTACTACAAAAATAGTCAAATAATTAAATAACCAGAGGGAGACTTTGTACAAAAGTCGATTGTTTGGGTACCTCTGTCCCATACGTGTTTCAACCGTGAAGCAGTTGTGTTTGCATGGCTGTGTTTCGGTTTGAAGGGTGGGATATGGCGTGAATTTACTGGGTACAGAGGAATAAAACCTGAGTCCTCAGGAATGGCAACGCATGGGGGGTATCATGGGCGAAACAGTATACTCTGTTATGTCCATGGTACTGCTCATGTCTATAGGCGACGGTTACCACTTTCGTCGTCGGCCGTCAGCTTGTTTGCCATTCTAAGTTGTATAAAAAAAATGCAATGTTGCCACACTTATCGGAAAATAAATAGGTACATATATAAAAAATTACATACATAAATCTGACCCTTCAGATGAGACAATGATATAACTGTCACGTGATTGGTGAATGATAACAGTGTCGTGCACGACAAAAAGACGAGCACGATAATGCCGTTCAATCCCCTAATCGAGCGGGCCAGTCGTAATGAGTCATTGTTGTGCAATTATCAAACCACGATGGTGAAATTGCCGGCAATAGATAAAATGAACGTTACATAAAATTACTAATGGTTTGTATGACTTATGACTCAACTATTACATAATTGGTCGTAGCATATTAAGTATTAACACTAGCGACGCGCCCGGCATCGTCTGTACTGTATCTACTGAGCATTTAAGATATTTAAATGTATACTTCCATAACTAATAACGCAATTGTTTAAATATTTGTCGCCTAGTATTATTTAATTCCTTAAAATTGTTTACTTCATTTCATACCATATAATTATTTTAAAGCAAATGCTGTGAATACCTTTAATAGGCATTTGTATTAATATTGTATTGTATTTAATGTTTGTTATATGTTTTATAATGCAATATGCTGTTAGTGTTCCTTTAAATAAATAAATAAAAATAAATGCGTTTAGATATTTAAGAATTCATAAGTTTTTTTTTATACAACTTAGAATGGCAAACAAGCTGATGGCCCACCTGATGGAAAGTGGTAACCGTCGCCTATAGACATGAGCAGTACCATGGACATAACAGAGTATACTGTTTCGCCCATGATACCTCCCATGCGTTGCCATTCCTGAGGACTCAGGTGTTATTCCTCTGTACCCAGTAATTTCACGCCATATCCCACCTTTCTATTTCTCTCGTGGTTCCCCCTGGAAACCATCATGGTAAATTCTTGTGGAGTTCTTCACAACGGGTGAACTGACCTGGTCCCTTTATAGCTTATCATTTTTCACTGATAGCGCAGGCGGAGATACCAATCCATTTTCACCCATTAAAACAAAATCATTTCAGACTACAGATATGGTAAACAAGCCCCTCTGATATTTTAAATACATTATTTTTGCAGGTAAATAGTACCTACTTACAAGACGTCTGCGATAAAGAAGCTGGTACATAGTTACTATTTACCCGCATAAACAAATGTATCCCATTAAGTTGCAATAGTGTATTTAAAATATGTGTAAATCGTTATTTAAAAGGCGTTCCTTTTTTAAATTAACAATCCCGATTTTGTAATGTTTGGATGTTTCAATCATGTAGAAACAGCTGAATAGTTTTGTATGTATATTTGTTTATTTGCATTCCATAATGTTACAATAGATGTCTACTAACATAAACTAACTAACATAGTAACTTAGTTATTATTGCTTACTATTTACCTAATAATTTTATAACAATTTATCTGAATAACTAAAGATGAAAAAAAAAAAACAACTTCAATTGTGACAAAACCAGTTATTTTGATCTAAAAACTAAACTGAACTGAACTAATCTGTAAATAAATATATCCTTTCATAAAAAAAAATCCTACATTGATTTATAACTGATGGAGTTATGAGACAACAAACATAAAAAAGACTGAATATTTTTTATTGAGTATTTTTTAACCACTTGAAAAAGAAACAGGTTCTTACTTTTTTTTTGAAATGGTTAAAAAATACTCATTGATGTTATAATATGTTTGTTTACTAATAAGTTTTTTAAATTATATGCAAATGATTTTGCATTGTTTATAGTTTTAATGGATTGTTTTATAGATACTAATCTAGATTAACACATTGGGTAATTTTTATCAATATTTATTACAGTCAAATTGCAAGAAACAGTCATGTTTAAAATGTAAGAGTTTGTAAAGACGTTTGTTACTTAACTATGTTCGAATGGCTTAATAGATTTCAATAAAATTAAGAACCAATAGATAAGATACTTTTTATCCTAATTCACATAGATAGAGCCATGGTGCAAAGGTAGATCAGTGTATATATGTGACAGTATATATTATAATAAACTAACTACTCCTCATTGTTCTTATTCAACTCTTAGGACAAAGTCCATATAAAGATAATAAGTGAATATTCATTAACTTCCATGTTTAAAAGTAATATATTAATATAATTAATGAGGAAAACACAGTACAAAAAAAATCTATCAAGTATACAATTAGTTTAAATTCCTTCAATTCATAAATAAGTAAAATAATGTTATGTAAAAAATTATTATATAATAAAACTATAACAAAACAATGTGTGTACATAGAAGATGTTTAAGAAAAATTAATATGAGGAGTCTTAATAAAAGCATAAGAAACCAAAATGTTTTCTTTTTGTGTTTTGTTTGGCTATTGTTTACTTAAACAACCTACAAAAACCACTACATAGGATATATATAAAACTGGATGCAGTTTTTACAATTGTGCTCCTGAAAGTCTGTTCTATTATAATTGTAATGTTCTATTTCGATAAGCCATCTAGAAATGATCTATTTCATTGTAACTCTTACTTCCGAGATTCATGCGCACAAAGGCGCAGGCAAATAAGCTAGTAAACAATACAGATGTGCAGGCCTCTTGTTGGTACTGCTCATGTCTATAGGCGACGGTTACCACTTTCCATCAGGTGGGCCGTCAGCTTGTTTGCCATTCTGAGTTATATAAAAAAAAATGCCTTCAGTATATTTAAAGTTTTACCTTTTCAAATTGCTGAGTGATCATAGCATAGAATAGACTACTTCTACCTTTCTCATGGATGTTGTAAGAGGTGACTAAATGAAATTGAATGGTCAAGAAATGGGCAGCAGAATCCCTCTTAAGACATCACTAAAGCCTGAATGCAGGCCACCCATGGGCCAAGTGTGGTAGCTACTTGCAAAACACCCAAGGTGGAGGCCTATGTTCAGCAATGGACAGTTAATGGCTGATATGATTCTCATATTAATTTTGCTATGATTGAAGTTACTTATTTGCAAAGATTTGTTATGCAAAAAAGTAAATCTTAAAATATTCTATCCCATTTTATTTATTATCTTGATCTTGAATTTAAATATGATATGATTATTCAGTGGGTTTGATTCTAAAATATTAATCTTTAAACTTCGCTTATTTTTTTTTTATAAAATCAATGATTATTTAATTAAATAAAAGTTTAGAATAGATAGATACATACTTTTTATTTGAGCCATTTATGACACACATAAATTTACAAATAAAGAATAACATACAAATGAAGAAATAGAATTAATGTAATTCTACTGCATTCCTTTAAAGACAATATATATAATAGCTGATGTGCTAAGTACATGCATACAAGTAATATGATTGAAGTGTTACATTTATTTAGCTTGCTATATGATTTTTTGATCACATATTTGACTTTTTCAATATATTGTCACCATAAAAACCAATAGCGCAGCTATTGATTTTTGTTGGCAGGCCAGCGGTGAGCAATGATAGGTGGTGGTGATGCCAGGTCAGTAGGCCCATTGCAATGAATTCATAAAGAACTACCCACAATTTCCAGGGCAGACCATGTGAAAGGTGACTTTGTGGAAGAATATTTTGCTAGCAATGGGGCTCTTAGTACCCATTACTATCAATTCATTCCCGACCCCAGATGTTAGATATTGGAAATTATTTATGAAAATGAATTAAATGAGAGATTTACTATTTCAGATTAGGTGTTTTTTTACGTAAGAAGTAAAAAAAAGGTCGTAATTGGGCATCATTATTAGTATAAAGGGCAAAGGTATCCATAAAATCAAATTATAGATAGATAACATAGTAGAATGAGTTAGACGTTCCCGGAAGCTGGAAACTTTCATCAACCTAATTTACACATATTAATATTTACATAAATATCTCAATCTAATAAACTATTAAATATTAAAATTGCGTAAATTTGTAAATCATAAATTCTTCGACACTATGCTATATGCAAATGCTAAATGATAAAAACTTATGCTATTTTGGTCTTTGACGTCATAGGTAAACAAAAATGTTGAACTTGAAATAAGGGATTTTCTTTATTTTTGTAAAAATTAAGTATTTCCACATACCTTGCCATTGATTCCGAGTCCAAGAACTGTGTTTGAAATGTCATAGTCTTCAATAATCGGTGTGGTTTTCGGTGTTTTTGTGAAGTTATTCATTTTCCCGGAGCACTGCACAACATAAGATTTATTTCCCAATAAAACAAAATTACACTAGGTAACACAGCGCTTCAGTCAATAACGTATCTAACAAAAACTATTTTTATATATTACTTTTATACGACACCACAAAATTTATGAAAACTTAGTTTTTACTTTTTATCTAAATTCGTAATGATGACAAATTGTGATTCTCCCATTGAGCAATCGACAATGCTGCCAACATAATTTTGTCTATACTTACGCAATAAATAAAATGACTTTTATAAGATCCGAGGACAGTTAAGCGGCTTAAATCAAGGATAAAGATTTTTATTTCAAATAGAATTTAATGCTAAGTGCATTAAATTTTATTCCACTTAATGGTAAATGCTGGCAATACTTATTTACCATTATGAGAATACAGAAGTAATAAGAGCATTATTTTCCATAGCAGTTTTTATTAGAAACAACAATTTAAGTTTAACATTATCAGTTTGTTATTTTAGTTAAGTTTAGTGTTATTGATAGTCAATGGTTCTTGAATAAAATCAAAATAATAATGCCTTCATTCTCGCTTAATTCAAGCATTAATGACTATGTGGTTTATTTAATATTTATGTTTGATGGAAAAAGTAGATTCTTATTAATTTGAATAAATCAGATGTTTTATAAAATCGCAGGTACATCAGGTATCAAAAAGGTATTTAAAACTGATATTAAAGAAAATAACTTTAACAAGAAACTTCAAATGTCAAGGGTTGATAAGCAACTTGATTGATATCTTTTAAACGACAAAAATTACGTGCTAGATTAAAGCCGCTTGATTGACTATGATCTTCAGAAGTTTTCGCAAGTAATATTGTCAGTATTGTCGATTTATTTATGGTTAACTCATTTAGGCCCGCGTTATTTGAATGTGCTTTAAACTTTTACATTAGGTTAAACAAAATAATAAATGAATACGTGCTTTTAGGCACAGGATATTGATTAGTTTGTATCTAAAGTACATGGATACTAAGAGACCTAAGTAGTAGTTTAAAAAGGCCGCGGATAGCTTACGATTAAATTTGGGGAATGAAAATAGGTACCTATTGTCTATATGCAGTTATTATAAAATGTAAATTACTACATTCTATACATAATATTTCTTATTTCCAAGAAGTATAGTTGTATTATGTGCAGAACGTAATTTTTTTTGTTTTCAAACCTAACATTATTTTATATTCTTAAACTCTAGGATTTATAAGTTATAATAGAATATAGAATTTACATAAATCTTGAAAACATTATCCTTCTTTTTTGTGTAGTCAAGTAAAAATTCAAGTCACATGGAGAATCTCACTTTCAAAATCACACACTTAACTTCTTTTTCATGTACATAAACGCCTGATATAAGTCAATGGCAATATCATATTAAAACATATTATATGAAATCAAAGCAAAGTTTAAAAAATACAAAATGGTATTTGATACTCACGACACGACTATGTCTTCATATCTAGTTTAAAATGTAATTATTGTCAAATTTAATTAAATTTAGTCCATTCCGCAGTAAATCTATAAAAAAATATACAAGCAAATTAACGACCTCATCCAAGATGCTTTTATAATTAAGGTAGGTAATTATTGGCAAAAGTGTTAATTATTAAATCCTTTATAATAAATTGATGCCGAAGCTTATATAAAAACTTTAAAAATAAGTTCTCTATGTGTATTTTTGACCAGAGACTAATTATTTTATTGCGTAAGTATATAGTTTCAACTATAGGGGAATTATTGATATCAACGAATTTCAAAAGGAATAGTGTCTCAATTCGTCTCAATTTTTTATGGTCCTGTTACGTGACTATCAATTGTGAACCGATTTTGATATTTTTTTGCAATCAGTAAGGTTTATTTTTGCGAAGTCATTGTTTTTATTCGCGCAGTGTAACTTGTCAACTTACTTGTAAACACACAATTCCGTGTTCCAAATTCAAATAGGTATTTATGCGTTTACTAGTGTTAGACCCCGACTTCGCGCATTTGACCGGAATATATTCACTAACCGGGATAAAAATTAGCCTATTACCTTCTCCATCCCATATAGTAAGTGTATAAGTACTAAAATTTAAAGTGATTGGTTAAGCCGTTTGATAATATGCAAACACATTTAAGGTAACAAACAAACTCTCTTTCACATTTATAATATTTGTATAGAAGAACAATCTCGTCATTCATCGATGATTTTTGTCACGATTGAAATTTTTCGAAACGTTATTTTCCTGAGCTCAATGTACTTGTTATGTATTGATCGTTTTGGCCTCGTTTTCATTATATAAAATGTTAAAATGTTTGTATTTATTGCTGTAACAAATTACCTTGTTTGAATGGAGGCATTTCGTTGACAAAAACAAATAAATATTTCGATGGCAACATCCGTAACCTTTCCTGATAAGGATGTAGGAAAAAACATCCTATTTACATATAAGGCAGGTAATACATTGCTCAATGGATTCGCCCGCCTTCTCGGCGCGAATTGAGCAAAACTTTCTACATCTGTGACTCATGGCGTGTATGGCTAGAAAATACGCGACAGCAATGCATTTTGAAGCGATTTTTTAAATGAATAGTTATTGCTTTATTTCAGATCAAAGATAGCCACTGCAATAGTAGATTGATGTTACAAGGTGAGTAAAATATAATAATTGATACAAATAAGAATAAGATATAAGTTTTCTTTTTTATATAATAGTTCGACAAATGATAGTATAACAAAAGTCTGTAAAAGCAACGCTGCATGTGTATATTGTGCATTCACGAACAGGATGTACACGTGAGCTAGGTGAACCTAACCATTTGACCCCGCTATGTCGGTTTACTTGCTTTTTCAAGCGTATTAATTAAAAACTTTTAGTGAACAAAGTTTATAGCAGAAACAGGAGTATATTGTTATTAGATCTTTTCTCAACGGATACAAAAGCTGAATTCTTCTTCTTACTGAATGAGCTAAATTCTTTTTTTATTTTTTTGCCAAATATTTACTTTTAATCTTTTCCGAGTCCTATCCATGTAATCATCATCTTCACCTAAGGATTGAAGTGAAATATCTAGGTGTTTATTGTAAATGTTGTATCTTCTTTTTAAAGTGCCATTTTTTACCAGAGGTCGGCGTTCATCATGGCAATCTTGATCTTTTCACCGCCATCCTGAAAAGAGATCTAATGCTCATTCCAAACCACTGTTTTAAATTTTTTACAATGAGCTTCGGCGTTTTTCCGGTCTTTAGCAAGCTTAGATCTTTCCCTGTATTATAAGCTGTAAAAGATTGTATTTTCTATTCCGCATTATATGACTAATTATCTCATCCGTAATATGTCTTAAATATATTCAAGTTGTTTCAAAATATTAGAACTGATTTCATTAGGTCCGACGGCTTTTCTAGACTTTGAGTTACGTAACGCAAAATTATATAACTAAAATTAAATATTGTATACATCATATATGTAAATTAAGAGATATATGAAAAAGAAACAACTTCGTGCAATACAGGTATGTATTAAAAAGTTTAGGAATAAAAAAGGGGAATTATAAAAATTATGGTTTTCTTTCAATAAGTAAAGAAATTTAGTTCCAACAATATTGCTACCTGTTTTTCCTATATGGACTGCACCTACTTTACTAATTTAGTTTATATGTACTTAAGATTTATTAATTATTGTAGCGTACTTACGCCTATTTAGTGGCTCCATCTTAATTCGCGGCAGACTCTCTGTCTGTAAGTTGGGTAATAAAACTTCACGATTTATACGTAGTACCTAATTGTTATAACATAAATAAATTACATTTATATGTATGTATGTTTCGTATTTGTTAGCTTAATATGTAACTGCCATAATAATCGTGTACAATACATATATTATATAGTTGTCTTAATAAAATTAATAATATGTTCTGTAAAATGGAACGCTCTTTGTCGTCCATCTTAACGTAAACTATAAACAAAGATAAACTACATATGTTGGTGCGGGGGAGGGATTGTTAGTAATGCGGATTACCAGTCCCATTACTAGCAATATGGGTATATTCGTCAGTTCGACCTCCACGTGCCCCCCCCTGGAAACCATTGTGCTGAATTCCAGGTGTATTTATCACGATGGGCTAACTGACCTACTCTTTCATTTTCACTTATCATCGTTTACTGGTGTACATTATATACACTGCGGGGGCACCAGTGAGGCATGATAGGTGAGGATGAAGCAGGTCAGTTAGCCCACCGGTACGAATGTAACAATAAATCAATCACGGTTTCCAGTGGGAACCACGAGGAGGTTGACCTGACAAGATATATAGTTAGCAATGGGGCTACTAATCCCCATTACAAACAACCCCTTCTCTCCCCTCATCCATACGTTTCAGGCAGGTATTAATAAAAAATGAAATAGTAATCCTGCCTACTCAATCGGTATTCGCTTGCGGGGCATGAGTGAGGATAGGTGAGGATGAAAGCTCGTCAGTTGAATTATCCACGGTGGTTTCCAGATAACCGCGTGGAGGTCGGCCTGACAAGGTATATTGTTGGTAATCGGACCACTATTTCTTCGATCCTAAGTCTGCGCTCTGGGTCTATACCCGGTTTGCTTAAAAATAGAAGGCTAGCTGCACAATAAATATGATTTATCTATCCCAAAGAATAACAGTGAAAGGCCTTTAGGATATAACGTTGATAATCGTAGTTAAAATTCAAGATATTAGAGGTTTATGTAATCATCATGACTCATCACTATCACAGAATATAATATCGATTCGTTGTTTTTGCTATTAGAAAGAAATAATCGGATTTCGTTCCAATTTTCACGAATAGATTTCTAATAAAAACTACTTGATGCATATTTGTTTTAATGGGTGATAATGGAATGGTAACCCCACCCGCGCTATCGGTATACACCGGCGGGGCACCAGTGAAGGATGACAGGTGAGGATGAAGCAGGTCAGTTAGCCCATCTTGACGAATTCAACAAGATTTGTTCACGATGGTTTCCAGGGGGAACCACGTGGAGGTCGACCTAATATGGCATATTGCTGGCAATGGGTTTGTCTAACTCCATTGACAACAATACCTTTCCCCCCACTTGATGCATATTATTTTTATTATTTGGAATTGTTTATTGGATTAAGTTTTGTGAGTAAAACACATGTAGGTATATAGATATTTAAAGATTCAAGATTCAAATTAAACGTAGATTTTGTTA